TTGTTTTTATTTTGTATTTTGATTTTTAATTTTAAAAATATATATAAAAAACACTTATTTTATTAATTATTTTATAAAACATTTTTAAGAGAAAAAAAGTACGATCAAATTGGCCCATGTTCTCTAAATTTGGAGAACTTTTTCTATGCTCTAGGAGCACATGGTCCCTCTCAAAAGGAAAAAAAAAAAGTGTTATATGCGTGAAAATAAATATAAATGATCCCTTCTAAAAAATAAAAAAAAATGGGATATGAGTGAAAATAAATACAAAGATAAAGATAATGTAAAAGTGTTATTTTTTAATAAAAGGAGCAGAGAGTACTCCTCGAGCTTGAAAATATTTCTCTAAATTTGAATATAAAAACTAAGGGTTGGTGTTTGTCATTTTAAATAACATAAGTTATGTCATTTTGAGAGAGATAGATACAAGAAATAAAAATTATGGAAGAGAAAGTGAATGGTTTTTTTTAATTTAAATTTTAAATAAAAAAATATTTTCTGGTGTCTATCTCTCTCACATAATTTTATGACATTTAAAATGATAAACACTCATGTTATCAAAAAAAAATAAAAAATGACAAACACTCTTTCCAAAAACTAAAATTATTATAATTTTCAAAATTATTTTTGCAAAATCAAAAAACTGCTTTTGAATGTCAAATATCCCATAAATTTCTCTTTTCCTTTTATTCCTTTGCCATCGTTTCCCCTTCACTAAAAAAACTTGTAACACATAGCATAACTGTAACTGATGGGAATATCCAATGTTTATGCAAATATTGAACGGAAAAGGTGAGAAAATGTTAGAGAAATAGAAATATATAGTTAAATACATCTAAGAAAAGGAAAAAAAAAAACAATTTACATCTAAGTTATTTGGTGCCATGTCAGTAGGATTCTTCATCAATACATTATACAGGTGTACAATAAGGCGATACAAATTTAAGGACATTTGTTTCATTTCATAATGAATTGATATGAACAAAACAGGAAGGCTAACAAATCAACAAAAAAACTACTCATAATGAAAATGTTACAAAGACAAACCAATTCACATGAAAAAGATTAAATTTAATTGACGATAATTTAAAATAAGGTTAGTTTTTTCTGCAATTTTTACAGATAAGTTATCTGCAGTAAGTCTAAAAAAACATAATTTTAAAACAGAAATCATGATATTTTTATAATTCTAATTTATTTTGGGGTTATTTTAATCTTTATAATTATAATTTTTAATTTTTGTTAATTTCAAAATGACGTTATTTTAAAAGTAAATACAGATAACTTATCTGCACAGAAATATTTCTGTTTAAAATATGAATAAATACAATCAATTAAGATTAAATTTAATTAATTCACACGAAAAAGATTATTTAAAATACTCATAACTAAAACTAATCAGCAAAGGGTTTACTTTCCTTCGTTGCCAAACGAGGTCCGTTTTCAAGGATTATATGTTCTTCTTCCCCTTGTTGTAATCTCATCGAAGGATCAATCCTAATCGAAGAGATCGGTGTTTTTCCTCTACCAAACGTCCCCTCAGGTAAATTTAAATTTACTTTCTTCCCTTTGCTTCAGGGTTTTCCACAAGGTTAAAAAAAAAGTGTAATTGTCTTGAATCAACTTCTTTGAAATGATGATTCCACCAACATAGAATGCCTGAGTTGAGATGAATCTGCTTCCCCTGATTCTGAATGATATAAAGTTTATGACTTTTCCCTTTCATGCTATTTGGGTTTTATTTGATTTTGGAGGTTTTGGTATGTCCTCCTAGTACCAAAAATCTGTGCCTGCTATAATGCCCATTTCACCGGTGCAAACAATTCCCTAATTTATTGTGTGTGGGTAGGTTTTGTATTTAGTGAACTTTTTCATTCATCACTGTATGCACGAAGAGTTCTCAACTGCATATCAAGATCCCAGGGATTTTCATGGGCTATGACTAGCTTACCTTTAAGCTTATTTTGCCTCCATAGTCCATACAAGATGTTTCTTTAGTTGTTGCCTTGAACTATAGATGTAGAAGTAGAGTGAGTGGAAATTTTGGCTTTTTGATTGATATAGGTTTGCTTTTTTGGTGTCAATAAATTTTGTTTAATATTTATCACTGCTTCCTTCAGTTGGAGAATTGATTTGCTGTTTATATTCTTTCGTCTCCTTAGTTCTGGTAAATATCTAGTCTATATTCTTCTTTGAGTTTCGAGCCACCCTGGCTTTTTTTTCTTTCTTTTTATATGTTGTGTCCTTTTGTTGCCAGATTTTTGAGTTCCTTGTGGTTGAGTTCTGCAATATGGCTACTAGTTATTGTATACAAACTATGTTTCTTTGGGGCCTGAATGGGAATTTTTTTCTTTTCTTGTCTGTTTATTAGTTTTATGCACCCACACATGATTCATCATAGACTAGTTTTATTTATATTTTCTGTTATTTGTTCTTGCCTTGCACTCCTTTCATTATTGTTAGCCACAGTCAACAAGAATCCTAAGGCCAAAGACTAGAAACCACTCCTGTTATGACTATTCTCTCTCTGTGTGTGTACGGCTTTATACCCCGCTTTATCAAGCACTTTCATTTGTTATAGATGGCAGGCCAAGTTACGAGATCAAGAAGACTAGAAACTCAACAGCAGGAACAGTCAAGGGCTAGGTGGACGACATCAATCACTAAGATACTTGCAGAGCTGATGGTTGACCAAGTACATAAAGGGAATAAACATAACAATTTATTCAATAAGAAAGCATGGAAATATATTTGTGATGAATTTTACAACAAAACTGGTCTGAAATGGGACAAGGAGCAACTCAAAAACCGATATTCAGTCTTGAGAAGACAGTATGCAACTGTAAAGTCCATTCTTGATCAAAGTGACTTTATTTGGGATGAAGCCACGGGATCTATCACGGCAAATGATGAAATTTGGGTTGAATACATAAAGGTATGTTCCTTCATCTTATGTTCTGTTATTATTAATTAAATACCAAGAAATGGCCCTGCTTAAGGAGGAAACTTTTGAACATATGGTCAGTTTGGTCTTCCCTTAAAAATGAGTTTAAAAAGTCATGGATGCTTTATATGAAAAATCTGCTTTTGAATTTTTCACACCAAAGCTTGCTTTACATTTTTTCTTTTTGGTGATAAGAATGTGGAATAAGTTATGTTTATTATGTAACTCTTGAGAATGCCGTGGCATAAGTCTCTGGAGTGAAACTCTATTAGTTTCTATTATAGCCTGCAGGATTGGAGTTCCGTTGAACTCAGGCAGGAGGTGTTTTTTGTTCTTTATAAAAATACTTGATTAACTCTTTGAAATTACAGAAACATCCTGATGCTGAGACTGTAAAAAGCTGTGGCTGCCCAATCTTTAAGGAGCTATGCACAATATTCTCTGAGCCAGCAACTAATGGCAAGCATGAATATTTAGTTGCATTTGAGGGTGAACATACATCTAGAACTCCTTGTTCAGAGCTCTTGAGCACGCACCAAGAGGAGTCCTCATCTGGATCCCAGGATGAGGAAGATGCTAATGACCCTCTAACAGTTCAACCTACTACACCTACTGCAACCTGTAACCGCAAAAGAGGGCGTAAAGGAATCGATGATGCTATTGCAAAAGCCATATTGGAGATGGCATCTGCTTCTAAGATGAGGGCAGCTGCCATAGAGCAACATAATGCTAGATATAGCATGGCTGACTGTATTAAGGACTTGGATTTGATGCAAGATATTGATCAACAACTATATTTTGCTGCTTTAGATCTGTTCAACAAACCTAATGTCAGGGAGATATTTTTGTCTCTCAAAAAGGATAAACGTTTGACTTGGTTGCGTGGCAAGTGTGCTGTTGCATCCAATAGTATTGGTTGAAAAAAGAGGAAAAGATCTCCTTTGGTCACAGTTTGATCCGTAGGTACTAATTATTCACAAACTTTGATTATATAATCTCATTCATATCACATTACTTCGTAAAGTTTGTGTTAAAATATTAATGTATGCATGGCACCAATACATGCTACCGTAATGATATCAAAGTTGATCTATTCCATACAACAAACTGATTTCTCCAAATTGCTGAAAAACATATTAAGCTCAACTTCAGCTGAAATCTGACAACGAAATATGCGGAACCGTCACATCCAGAAACAATCGGGATAATATATTCGTGCACTTTATTGAAAATAAGTATTTAAAAAGATCATTGAGTGCCTACGTCATGCATAAAACTCCCTCACTTATCCTTGCATTTTTGGGAGAAAACTGTTTCCTAAACTCGTACCTGTGATCTATTAATCACAAGTAACAACCTTAACATTTGCGCTTCATCATCTTAAAAGAATCATTATGACTATTTAATATCTATTAAAGGAATTTAAGACTATTAAATTGTATTACATTACGTAGAGTTTGGTCGTAAGTCCTTGTAATAAGTTAAATTTCAGTTCGATGATAAAATTTTAGGTTTACGTATAAATGCAACAAAAATACTCCAAGCAGGAAACGTGTGAACAGGACAGGAGCAAATTTTTTTTAATTTGTTCTCTTTTGCCTTTTTTTTTTTTTTTTTTTTTTTTGTGTTAAAAATTATTTGAGAACGCCTTGACTTAGAAGAATACCTAAGGAAACGTTACATTAAATGGAACCATACCTTAGAAGAAAGTTCAAACTCGTTACAAACTTTCCCCTCCCCTAATTATCAAAATTTCTTAACTATATGTAATTATATTAACAGTAATATAACGAAACCAAGAGAAACTCCAAGCTAAGTGCTTCCTAGCTTTCTGAACTAGCAAGTTGGCAGCTTCTTCAACTGGAACGATGATTCTACACCAAACTTATCTGAGTCTTACCAAAAGAAAAAAAAGTGAATTAGATTGCACTTTTCCATTCTCCTATCAGATACCATGGTTCATGATATAACTGAGTGTAAATACAATCTATATATGGGCAAGGGTGATCATCTATACAGATCCAGGTCAATTCTCCTACTGTAATATTCTCTTCACGTCATGCTCCTGCTCAATAACTTTGGCTTTGTTGTGTACCGACTCAAAAACCTCCATGCACACACTTGAAAACCCAACAATCCCTTGAAAAACATGTGGGCAACCCATTTGCAGGTTATTCAGTGTCATTGCCCGTGTTACACTCACTAACTTCTCATGTTTGGTCTTCTCTTCCTCTGCCTTTGCTCTCAAAGCTTCCACCTTAGCACGCTTCTCGGCGACGGGGTCCTTGTTTCGCATGGTGCCAGAGGATTCTCGCATGGAGTATGGACCATATTTGCACTCCAAGGATCGAAGTTGAACCACCTTCTTCTCAAGCTCTTTAAATGCAGAATCTGACTTCTTCTTTTGTTTATGCTCCTCTGTCTGTTGCACTACAATGGCATGAATCACTGTCAACAAGCTTTTGATTCCTTCAGATGCCACCTTGTCTGGAATACGGTCAACAGCAAGGTGCCATTCTTCACAGAGGGAGTATATCTTTGACTCCTCAGTGGTTCTGTTCAAAGGGTTTCGGTTAAACTGGAAAAGGCTAAGCCTTAGCCAACTTGTGAGGGATTGGATATAATCCCTGTGGGCCTTGAAGAGGTTGCAGAAGGATTGGTGCCATTGTTGTACTTCAAGCTCCAGCTGAAGAGTTGATTGTCTATGAATCTCAGATGTTGGGTTATTTGATGGTATAGTGTTGATGTATTCCAGCTGCTGAACTATGTGCTTTTGGACTTGATGGCACTCGTACATGCTTCTCCACATGCACATCAATCTACCAACATAACAAACACACAATTCTGAGTGAGACTAATGTCATTTAAATAAAACATAGACTACTTTGAAATGTCACTGTCAATGATTAATCCAGCGGGTTAGATATGGTGGTACACATTCTGTTAGCAAATCAGAAGCAACAATAATTCAAGCCAGGAATTCAATAAAATTAAAATGGCCATCCAAGATTTTAAATTTTAAACCATTTGAAAAGAGTCAAATTATAGCTACAGTTGTTGCCTGTCCCCAACATAGAGTACTGCTTTTTTCAACCAGTCCCTAAACTGTATGTATATTGTACGAGTTATCAAAGCAATAGAAAAAGGATATCATTATTCATAAACAGAAAACAGACAGATAAGAACCCTCATGCGGGGTCCATAACATCCCATCATGTACCTTTATGAAAATTATATGGTACAAACAAAGTGTGCTACAATAATGTCTAGTCCAAAGACAAGGGCACACTTTGAACAAAAAGACCAGGGGCACATTTTGAAGTTTGAACCCCAAGAAAAAGAGGTTTACAAGCAATAAGCCCTGATCCTAAGGAAATCCACTTGATAAAAAAAATGAGATTCTGGTCGTACAGATTGTACTTCACACGGTCAAGGGTGGTGGTCAGCATTGTCTTCGCCAAAAACAAGTGAGGAGCACATAGTTATCTCAGTAAAAGTAAAAAGCAATATTTTCTACTGTTACTGATACTACGTATGTAGACACAGTTTGTAGCAGTTGACTTCCACTCCGCTACATAAATAAAGAAGCTGTAACTTAATCCCCTGTAGCAAAAGAGAGCTTCCAGGGCTGATGCATGTTTCAATGTAGCTTTCTCCACTTCCAACCAAACAAAAATGCAATCTCTGCTTTAAGCCTCAGTTGCTAATATGCTACTATTTTCTACTATTGCTAGAGAGCTTTGCCTTTTACCTTATGATCATCCCATTTGTGACGCAAAGATATGTATAAAATTTAAGTGGACCCTAAAATGAAGTACAGAAAATGAGAAGACTAACCCTTTGACAAGCTCAATGAGTTGAGGGTAGAGCTCTATCTCCCTTAATTTGATTATTTCAGCAGATGTACTATCGATGGCCTGGGAAGCAACCATCATTTGTGATTCTGTTTTCTCGACCTCTTTCTTTGTCTTCTCTGTCTTCACATAGTCAGCCCTCTTCATCTCTAGCTTCCTTAGCAGTGCCACCTTCTTCTCATGCTCCATCTTTATAGTCTTAGCATTCTTAAACCAACCAAAGAATATTAACAAGAAGGTAAGCAACGATTAATGGGAATTATCAAGTCACCTAATGAATCTAATAAAATAAAAAGGTGGGATTTCCTCTTCAAATGATTTTGATATTAGAAGTTTTCTTAATTCGGTCTAGCTCTACGGACTCCAAAAGATGAGGGAAATGCAAAATTGAACTAAAACTAAGTAAATGAACACATGACCACTACTAGAAAATCATAGCATCCACAGAATATTAATTGTAAAGAACAAGACTTCTTCACCAGACCCACATCAAATTTGTACCCACAAAAAGGGAAATCTTCTTCAACCTTTATTTCCCTTTTCTTTTTCTTTTAATTATTATCATCCTCTAAGGAATCTCAGAAAAAAGCTACACACCTTGACCTCTTGGTACAATTTCTTCTCCCACGCATATAGCCTCTCCACAGTGGAGCAATGGCCACCACTTCCAACACCATTAGCCCCAAAATTACCAACAGAAACCGGAGTTCCCTCAGCCAGCTTGCCAAATCCGTTCAGTTTTGGACTCGAACCCCATGCCCACAACGATGGACTCAGACTCCATCCATAGCTGTACACTTTACCTACAATCAACAGGTACAAACACAACCTTCAAAATTCAAAAAAGGTCAAGAAAAACACAAACTTGAATGTTGAACAACATAGAACATATTAAAGTGTGAAGAACAAATTATAAGATGCACATTTCAAAGATGTTCACACTCCACAAAAAGCAACCCGAAATTTGTTACATGAATCTGAGTCTTACTTGCTTTACTTTGATCAGAAAAGCCAGAGCTTGGAACTTCTAGAAGCAACGAGACATGAGCACCAGCATCAGCAGCTTTGAGAAAATAGTCATCAAGCTCTTTGATAACTTCAACCAGATCTTTGGTGTTCCTTGACACCACCATTGCAAGCTCACTAGGGGTTTGCTTGGAAAACCTGCTAATCACAGACGGCGGAGCCGTCACACACACACACACACACACACACACACACACACACACACACACACACACACACACACACACACACACACACACACACACACACACACACACACACACACACACACACACACACACACACACACACACACACACACACACACACACACACACACACACACACACACACACACACACACACACACACACACACACACACACACACACACACACACACACACACACACACACACACACACACACACACACACACACACCACACACACACACACACACACACACACACACACACACACACACACACACACACACACACACACACACACACACACACACACACACACACACACACACACACACACACACACACACACACACACACACACACACACACACACACACACACACACACACACACACACACACACACACACACACACACACACACACACACACACACACACACACACACACACACACACACACACACACACACACACACACACACACACACACACACACACACACACACACACACACACACACACACACACACACACACACACACACACACACACACACACACACACACACACACACACACACACACACACACACACACACACACACACACACACACACACACACACACACACACACACACACACACACACACACACACACACACACACACACACACACACACACACACACACACACACACACACACACACACACACACACACACACACACACACACACACACACACACACACACACACACACACACACACACACACACACACACACACACACACACACACACACACACACACACACACACACACACACACACACACACACACACACACACACACACACACACACACACCCACACACACACACACACACACACACACACACACACACACACACACACACACACACACACACACACACACACACACACACACACACACACACACACACACACACACACACACACACACACACACACACACACACACACACACACACACACACACACACACACACACACACACAACACACACACACACACACACACACACACACACACACACACACACACACACACACACACACACACACACACACACACACACACACACACACACACACACACACACACACACACACACACACACACACACACACACACACACACACACACACACACACACACACACACACACACACACACACACACACACACACACACACACACACACACACACACACACACACACACACACACACACACACACACACACACACACACACACACACACACACACACACACACACACACACACACACACACACACACACACACACACACACACACACACACACACACACACACACACACACACACACACACACACACACACACACACACACACACACACACACACACACACACACACACACACACACACACACACACACACACACACAGACCACCACCTCAGAACCCGTGGTGGTCGTCGCTTCCCACTCTTCCTCTGTCGCGGACCTTGAAGGCGGAGGAGGTGGGGCCTGCATGAACGGGTCCCAGAAATCCCAGGCGGAGGAAGACATCGGCGGCGGAGGTGGCGGCGGCGGAGGAAGAGCGGGGGAGGCAGTCACCGATGTCCAAGTATCTGAACTTGGACTCATCGGAGGCGGCGGAGGAGGTGGCATTGGGGTCGGGGTTCGCGGCGGCGGTGAAGGGAGAATGGGCTGAGGCTCCGGAGGAAGATGGTGGTTATGGTGGTGGTGGTAGTGGTGGTAGTGGTGGTGGTTGACGGCGGTTTCAGCATTTGCAAACTGAAACAAAGCAGAGCCAGTTGCACGAAGAGACCGAATGTACATAACATGCGCAGCAGAAAAAGCGTGTCTTGCTTGCACAAACTGTTTCATGTAACGCTTCCTGGCCTTGCATTGTGACACAGTTTCTTCTCTCTCTATTCTGGAATGGCAGCAACCCATCTTGTCTTTTTGTTCCTGCCTTGCTAGGAACAAGATCACCTTGCTTCTGTAGAAGAATAAAGCTCGTTTTTTTTTTGGTCTGTGTTTGTGTTTGTGTTTGTTTTTGTTACTATGCTAAAAAAATGGTCCCCTCTTTGGCAAACTCCATAAAAACGTGAATCAGTGAGGATGGATGGTGCTTCTTCTGCATAAAGTTTCCTATTTTAATGCCTCGAACTCTGGCTTTGGTTGTCAAGTGATAAAGTAGCTTTCTTTTGGGTCTAAATACCTTCACTTTAACTACTAAGCCATTCCCTCTCAAGACATGTATTTATGTTTTCTGGTTGAATCCGAAACTCCACTCTCACCCAGAATGAAAATGCAGTTTAGGAATCAGGATAGTTATGTTATGCTTGGGACTCTCTCTCTTAATGTTGGAGCAACAATGGAGAAAGAGAAATCAATGTTGGTACTTGTTTTGAGAAGGTACAAGACAAACAAGTAAGCTTTGGGCAGAGAGCCTACAATGCAAAGAGTTATTTTATTCCATGTATTTGGATTTAACTTGTCAAAAGTACCCCTACAAGCCCTCTAGTGTAATTTTACTCTGGGTTTGGGGTAATTATAAAATGGTCAAATTCTCTTTACATAACGTGAAGGAACATGCATGATGCATAATATCCCCAAAGGCCAAAAGCCCAAAACAGATTTGCCAGTGCCAGATCAGATGCACGGATGGGGCTATCTTCCAAAGAATTTTAGAATAGTGGATTTGAATCAAAAGGGCATTTTGGTAATTTGATCCGGACATAAAGCCCCATCTCGCTATTCTCACCCGTGGCATGGCATGGGAATTGTTTCAAAATATTGTCTTTTGATTAAAGGGTATAACTTTCTCTAAATAAAAATTAAGAAACGCATGAGAGTCACTCACTGAACTCTCAATTTTAATTTTGATTTGGTGTTGAGTGTGCTTCGAAATGGCGTTGCCAAAGATGGATTTCTGTGCCAAGTGGCGTTACATAGGGACGTGGGCTATCGCACATCTCTCTTATGCTTTGCTGGTTATTCAATAACAAAAGACAATTTTATATAATTTCCAAAAAAAAAAGACAATTTTATATTAAAGAAAAAAAATGCCAACGTACCAAAAAAATTAAAAATTAAAAAATGTCCCTTTTCAGGAACATATGTATGTATTTGATTTGGATAGATTGAAATAATCTTGTTAGTAAAAATACATTTTATAATATAAATTTAATTAAATCGGTTGAACTAATGATATCGATTGAACTAATGATCCAATACTTTAATCAAGTCAATAATCGAGCTGAATTTTAAAAGATTAAGTGTAAGTAATTATTATTTTTAAAAATATTTCCTTTGACCATCCCTGTATTATAAATTTTGTTGTGATAAATGGTATGTTACTCTTTATAAACTTAACTAGCTAACTTTTTGCTAATAATTGTATCATAATCATTGTGTTAGAATTTAGGCCTCTATTTTATAGGGTGGCTGTTTATCCTATCATTAACATGGGAAGAGTGATTTATAAGAAAGCAACATTTAAGTTTTACATTAATGAAATTAATTTCATTGATTAATTTTTATTTAAAACGAATTGGGTACAAAAATGAAGAAGGCATGTGATGTTTGAACCGAATCTTCTCCTTGTGAAGAAAAACACACAAAAATACGATTTCCTTTTCCTCTGGTTGCAGCAAAGCAATCAAAAGGAAAGAAATCCTTTACTTGCATGCCAGCATCAGCATCAGCATCAGCATCAGCATACCTTGTTCATTATGTCCTCTCTCGCTTTATAAACACTTCACACGCAAAAGCCTCTTTGCACTTCCTCCTTTCATATCAAATCGTTGAAACTGCAAATAAACTTTGACAATGGCGAAACCTGTAGTTGACTCTATGTATCTCAAGGAAATAGAGAAGGCTCGTCGTGACCTTCGCGCTCTTATCTCAAACAGAAACTGCGCTCCTCTCATGCTTCGATTAGCGTACGTTGCAACTGTTTTCATTTAGAATATTATGTATCATAAACTTTTAGTAATTAACATAATTTATATATGTTTGTAGGTGGCACGATGCTGGTACCTACGATGTTAAAACCAGAACAGGAGGCCCCAATGGTTCTATTAGGAGTGAACAAGAATTGAATCACACTGCAAACAAGGGGTTGAAAACAGCTATTGAATTCTGTGGTGAGCTTTCTTTTACTTCTTTTCACTGAAATGCTTTTTTTCTTCTTCTTCTTCTTCTATCTCTCTGCTTAATCCTCAATGTTTTTGGTTTCTTTTGAGAATAGAGGAAGTGAAGAACAAACATCCAAAAGTTTCATATGCAGACCTTTACCAGGTTATTTTAGTTTTGGCATGTAATAGTTGTGATTAAGAAATTAGAGGGGGGTTTAATAAATATATATATACGAGGTAGGATCCTTTGATACCGTTATCAAATTTCAAATTTGACATCTCATCTTATAGCTGTTAGATCAAAAAAATTAATGGAGTCACATGCTTACAAATCAGATTTGTTGATTTTTTTTATTTAACGGCTATAAGATGAGATGTCAAATTTAAAATTTGACACCGATATCAAAACATCATACCTCTCTCTATATATATATATGTGGAGTCATATATAGATTAACTTTTGTATTTCAGCTAGCTGGTGTTGTTGCAGTAGAGGTCACTGGGGGTCCAACAATTGATTTTATTCCCGGGAGAAAGGTATGTGATCATGCAGAAGTTTTTGTTTAGTCTCATAATTAATTAATGGGTTAGGGTTTCAATATGTAGCTCTTTATATATTCTACTATTTTCTTTATTAGGATTCATTGGAATCTCCAGAAGAAGGGCGTCTTCCAGATGCCAAACAAGGTTATAAAATCATGTTGGTTGTTGTGCCTCTTGTTTTCTACCATTTTGGGATCTGTTCCTTAAGTTGGCTTTGCTGTCAATGTTACCATTTTACAACAATTGATTTCCCATCTCCTTATAACTTGTCATTTCATTACCTTAAACGTTGTTAAGTACAAGTCTGACTAGGTATAATGCAAATGGAAAATAAAATAGCCAATAGGTTGAGTTTGTCTTGTCATCATAGGAGGCACATTCTTGTAGAATTTCTTTTGTCTAATGTATATTTTAAAAGTCTTTTTTGGGAAAACCTGAATGTTTCATTTTACTTTTGTGAGATTTTGTCTCTCATTTTATTATACACCACAACTTATTAAACATTTATCAACTGCTTCATAGAAAAATTTTTGGTATAGATCTTAAGATTAGTGACAATGGTTTTGCCCATCTATTTGTTTGTGTTCCTCTGTTCTTTTAGCCATAGGATATTACTTTCTGACCGTATCCAAAGTATTAGTGATGTTGACTTAAGTATAGTTATTAGAAAAATTCATTCATATGGAAAAATTTCAGGTGCATCGCATTTAAGGGATGTTTTTAATCGTATGGGTCTGGGTGATAGAGACATCGTGGCTCTATCTGGTGGCCACACTTTGGTAAGAACGATATAACACCCAAGAGTCGCTTTATATATATATATATATATATATATATATATCTATATATATAGATATATATAGAGGTAGGATCCTTTGACACCGGTGTCAAATTTGAAGTTTGACACCTCATCTTAGAGTCGTTAGATCGAAAAATATCGATGGTATCACATGCTTACAAATCAGAGTCGTTGATCTTTTCTGATCTAACGGCTCTCAGATGAGGTGTCAAACTTCAAATTTGACACCGGTGTCAAATTTCAATTTTAACACCTCATCTGAGAGCCGTTAGATCAATGGTGTCACATGCTTGCAAATCAAAGTCGTTGATCTTTTTTGATCTAACGGCTCTCAGATGAGGTGTCAAAATTGAAATTTGACACTGGTGTCAAAATTGAAATTTGACACCGGTGTCAAAGGATCCTACATATATATATATATATATATATATATATATATATATATATATGAGAATGATCCGTTTACAAATTTTTACAAATTACGCTATGTTCTCCTAATCAGTGTTCTCCCGGCAGAAGATAGCGTAGTTTGTAAGCGTTTGTAAACAAAAAAGTTTGTAAATATAACCTGCCCCATATATATATATATATATAGACAGGATCCTTTGACACCGGTGTCAAAAAAAAAGTTTGACACCTCATCTGAGAGCCGTTAGATTAAAAAAAATCAACGATTTTGATTTGTAAGCATGTGACACCATTGATTTTTTTTAATCTAACGGCTCTCAGATGAGGTGTCAAACTTTTTCTTTGACACCGGTGTCAAAGGATCCTGCCTCATATATATATATATATATATATATATATATATATATATATATATATATATATATATATATTGAAGAAAACATTTAATCTCATTATTATTCATTTTAATTGATAAGGGTAAGGCACATAAAGAACGTTCAGACTTTGAAGGTCAATGGACAAAGGACCCTTTGAAGTTTGATAACTCCTATTTTGTGTAAGATGTTTAATTATATTACAAGCTTTTGTTTATTCACAAAATGTATAATTAAAAATTGAAGTTTCACATATAGCATTACTAAACAGGGAACTATTGAATGCGGAATCAAAGGACTTATTGAAGCTTCCCACAGACAAGGCTCTAGTCGAGGATCCTGAGTTCCACACGTATGTTGAACTGTATGCAAAGGTATTGGCCAAAAAGTTAGAACTTAGAAATATATATATATATATATATATGTATATATATATATATATATTATTATCAATGGCAGACCCGGCCTAAAAATTTAAGTGGCGTCAAAAAATTTGACATCAAATTATCAAAATATTTATTGTAATTACACAAATTTATTAGAAAAAAATTTACTATGAATTCTAGCATATTATCTAAATTATGTAATAAATAATGTCATATAACATTGAAAATTCAAATGAACAATTGACATTGATTATATATCAAAACAAATATATAAAATTGCATTAACCTTTTCGGTGAGTATTTCAAACATAAAAATTTCACTTTCCTTCCACAACATAATAAGCAATGAACCAAACATTGTCCTAATGATATGAAAATACACAAATATAATAATTATATGTATAATAAGCATTGTCTTTTGTCGACCCTTTCATTATCTCTATTCCTTAAATTTTCAATATCTCACGTTAGAGAACATCGCCCTTGTTTGCAACAACAATAAGCACAACAAAAAGTTCTCACATTTAGGAATTAGGTTTTTGACTATTCTTTGTGTGTGCAATAACCCAAAACACAATAGTTCAATGGACCTTCATATTCCATAACTATAGACCTGTTATTCATTTAGTTTTATGATTTTTGTTTTCAAGGGTTAAATGTGTCCTTTTAAAGGACACAATTTATGTTCTTTTAATTTTTTTTTTTTTTTGATAACAATGTTCTTTTAATTTTTAACACTATATCTTACCGCTAAGACATATTTATATCATAAAAAGTTATTTTTTTCTATCTCCACGTCAGCTAAAGTGAATGAAGAAAGAGAAAAAAAAAACAATTTTTTATATTATAACTATGTCTTACCGGTAACATATGGTGTTAAAAACTAAAAGGATAAAGAATAAACTAAAAGCAATTTTTTCTCTCTCCACAAGCTTGTGTCCTTTAAAAGGACAAACCTTTTTTCCTACTTTTAAATGGATTTATTTGATTTTGTTGGGCCCAAATTTTGAAATAGATCAACTAATCATTGTTGTGATTAAGTTTAGAAGTCTTTATTTTTTAAAATAATAGGAATAAGAATAAATAACATAATTGATTAGAATAAAGCAAAAATAAAAATAAAAATACACAAGATAAAAAGAAGAAGGTGAAACACAAAAATAATCATATTGTACACATTCCTTATTATTTGTTTGCATTTAGATGGTTTGTTGTTACTTTGTATTGAGTATTTGATTTTATATTTAGGTTGTAACACCCCAAATTTCTAACAATTTATGAAACAATCTTATAATAAATAAATTGTCAAAATTCATTTTTTTTCACAATTATAATAATAGAAATATTGCGGAAGCTAATCAAAATCTAATTTGGGGAATGTTACCGCCGCACCTGTACAATGAACAGGCGCAAGGCTAAATTTATTACATTAAAATAAAACCAAAGACTAAAGTTTAAATAAAGGAAATATGTCTTATGCATTTATTTAAATCTTATAAATTTCTAAACTTAGAAACTAGCTTGAAATACTCGAGTCGTGATCCTCACTGTCCACAGCTAGCCCCATCCTTTGCAACATGCTTCACTGAAAATCTGCTCCCCCGCAGCCGCAGGATCATTACAGTCAAACAAACACAAAAGTCAGCAAAGCTGGTAATCCTAATCAAAATACAATTAATGTGAGTAATAACAAATTAAATCAAATGTCAAATAGTGTTCAAATCAATTCCACATTAATCAAATCAAATATCAATATAATAATCAAAATTCCATAATATAATATTTATCTTTATTAAGTTCATTTAATGTATTTGGTAATTATCAACTAATATATTTAGCACAACATTAGTCATAATATGATAATATTCACAACTCAATGACATTCTTCATAATCAAATCAAATAACAAATTTCATTATTAATAATGTTTAAGTTCATTATATTTAGTGGGAAGAGAACCATGGTAGACCCGGGAAACCCTGCCAGTCTACCCCGTGACCCGGGAAAAAACCACTGTTACCAGCCACGTATAATCAAAATTGGCCATAATCAATTCACATCTTCCTAGTGTGCACACCTCTTCCCAAAGTTGCTACTAGTATCCCAGGAAACCATGCCAGACACCACTTTGGAAAGAACGGATATAATCTTTTTCACATCAGTTTCACATCGGAGGCATAAAGCCCAAAAGTTGTGTTCATCACCTTGGGAGGTACCATCCCAAAGCTATCCTCCCACCATTAATTTATTACAAACACACACAATCAGGAAATATTCAATCATAATTATTTATTCTTTAAGTATTATCATCTCTAAATGAGTTACTCAAGGGCATTATAATTTTCCAAAGTATCATAATTCAAACAACTATTATCATAAATTCTCGAATTTATATAACAATTCAAATCTTCAACATCTATCATAGTAAAATCCAAATCTGATCATCATAATAACTTTCCAATTTATTCAAGGATATGATAATTCAAATCTTCAACAGTCATCACAGTAAAATCCAAATCTGATCATTATCATAACTTTCCAATTTATTCAAGGATATGATAATTCAAATCTTCAACATTCATCACAGTAAAATCCAAATCTGATCCTCATCATAACTTTCCAATTTATTCAAGGATATAATAATTTAAATCTTCAACATTCATCATAGAAAAATCTAAATCCAATCATCGTCATTCAAATAATCCCATCACATCAATTATCATAGTTATTAATAATATAAATATTTAAATTCAATCATTAAAACACATATTTGGAAAGTTTTTCTTAAAGAGTAGTATAATTCCATAATTTTCATAATTATTCAATAAGATCCATATATTGCACATGAATTAAAAGTTTATATCATATATTGCACATAATCATAATTTCTGAAATAATAAAAATTTTCCACAAATATTCTAATTATCATATGTAGTAATTTAAATTTAAAAAAAACAAATACCTATATATATAGAAATGTTCATACCAAACTATTAAGAACATCTACGGATTACATATAAGGATTATGCCCAAATTTCATATAATAGAGATAACCTAAACACCTAAGGATTCAGATTACATCCAAGTTTTATATAAAAGAAATAACCTACGAATAGGATTACATATACCGAGATTCATATCAATATAATCCATGACTCTCTAGGGATAAGGATTACTATTAATAAACTTCAAACAAAATTATAACCTAAGGATTAGGATTACACATATCAAACATATAACTACCTAAAGATTAGGATTACACACAATAAAAATTTCATACACAACGAATCTACAACCACCTAGAGATTAGGATTACCTGGTCTCCGCGCTAACTTCTAGAAGAGAAGAGTAATTTGGGGTAGAGAACCGGTTGATAAAAAAAATATAAAGATTGAAAATAATTAAACTAAGCTTTTTGGAGTGAGAAGAGAGAGAGAGTAGTAGAGGAGAGTGAATTGGTTTGGTTAAGCTATGTCTCTATTTATAGTTGAAGTTTAGGGCTTATACATTACTGACTCAATGCTGACTCATCATATCTAAACAATATATGTTTGTTGATTCATCATATCTAAACAATTTATGTTTATTGACTCATCATATCTAAACAATATATGTTTGTTGACTCATCATATCTAAACAATTTACTAATCAATCATTACTAATCAAACATAAATACATAAATCATCAATCAATTAATAAATCAATTAATCATAATTTATCATCTAATATATATATATATATATATATATATATATATATATATTATCACATAAATCAAATAATATTACTATTATTATCTTACCTCTTATTATTTTAACAATTATTAACTCATTAATTAAAAATACTAAATACCAATATTATTAATTACAAAAATACTAAATATCATTATTATCCAAAAATATTTATTATTATTATTTTATTAAAAGAAAATATAGGGTATTACATAGGTGGTACCAAATTATAATTTTAACATTGGTTAATTATAATTAATTATGTAATATATATAATAAATAAATAAAAATTAAAACAAGCAGGTGCCAAGACACTTGCTGGCGTGGATGTGGTACACCACTGATTATTAGTTGTTATGATCACGGTAAGCATACCGGTTGTACAAGTAATAAAAAAGTGAGTAGAGTATCGTTCCCACAAAAATTAGTGTTTCAAGCACTAGTTCATTATTTTTACTTAGGTTGGACAAATCAAATTTGGTTTGAGAAAAATAATAGAGCGTTATTGTGGAGATCAACCAACACTCACTCCGTGACTTCTTCTATTTTCTTTTACTTTTTTATTTTGTTTAAGCGAGATATATCTGGCTAATTTTCTTTGTAGTTAGAAATATGGATCCGACGTGAATCTTTTATTTGGTTTAATTTTTTTCATCAATAAATTATCTCTAATTATTTGTGTTTATCTTGAATTGCTTGTTTAAATTCTTGTATGATCTGGCCAACCATATAGGAATAAAGAGGGTAAGAATTCGCAATAGACATATTGAGATCTTAACCTAGACAGGGATAAACATTGATTCTTACTTGATATAGACATAGGCTGGTAGGAATTGCAAACTTTTATAATTCATTGCAAGTAAGGCTTAATCAAAGGAATTTCTAAGACATTAAGATTCTGATTGGGTTAAAGAGTTAAAGAACTAAGACATTGTGATTTGACTAATTAATTCTTAGATGGTGAATTGTTTGAAACAAATGTGATAAAGAATTATTGAATTTAATTAAATCATAAAAGGGGATCAGAGGTGAAGTAGACCTAGCTGCAGTTTTTATTATTGATTTTAAATTCATCTTTTAATTATTAGAATTCTTTTCTTGCATTTAATTGTTGTTTGACATTAATCCTTAATGCATAATAAATTGGAGACACATTATTACTCTAACTATTTTTTGTTCATTAAAATAATTAATGTGATTTTAGGTCCACTAATAATTTTCAATTGTACTAGGACGAGGATGCATTTTTCACAGATTATGCAACCTCACACAAGAAACTCTCAGAGCTAGGCTTTAATGTCAAGAATCGTTCCATGTTGGCCCAGGTGCTTATAGGATTCGCTATTGCCTCAACTGCGGTGATCCTGGGTTACTTGCTTGAACGGAAATGAAAAACCAAAGGAGGAGATTATTAATAATATTATTATAATGTTCTAGATGTAATTTCATGTCAACAATACCAACTATTGTGCAAAAAATTATTCCTTCTGCAATAATATTAATAGATCTATATAGCTATGCATGGATATAATATTGATACTGAAGTTTTAACCTATAAAACTACCCAAGTCCCACTCCTAGTGGTAGTGGCTTTATATACCGAGTCGTGGATAATAGTATGCGGAAGAACAATAGTTTAACGGGTTTGGATAACAGCTAGCCTAGATAAAGCTTGCAACTTTGCGGCGTTAAACTGGACCATGAAAAGTTGGAAAGCATGGATAAGAGCAATTTTAAAAATTCGGTCCGACTATCGACTCGATAGAGATTAGGGTCACGAGATTATTTCGCTGATCCAGTTTTATACGTTAAAAAAAGTATAAATATATATCCTATGTTAAAAATTCAAAAAAATCAAACTACCAATAATCAAAGATTCAAAATATATTTAACAAAATTTAATCAATTACATTCGCAAGTCAATATTACATAAGCTAATCAAAGTATCAGACTATAAAAACATATTCCAATGGAGTTAATGAAAAGTTATATAATCAAACTCTGTCCCTCCTAGTCCTTCTCACGCACCTAAAGTAGCATGTGAAAGGGGATCCCTTACCCAAGAAAAAACTGTAAAGAACCATTTCAAGCCGAAACCTTAAGGCGTTGAGTGAAAGCCTTTTTAATTATTTATATTATTCTCTAACACATCCCCTCACGTAAGAGCCCTTTGGGCTTGAAACATGGATATTGTATAGGCCTACATTTTTTTTTTTTTTACCTTATACTTATTTTAATTCCACAAGTTGGGGACGGTGAGGATTGAACTCGTAACCTTGTAGTCAATGAAGCTCTGACTGATACCATGTAAAGAACCACTTCAACCCAAAACCTTAAGGTATTGAGTTGGGGGTATTAGAAAATAATATAAACCATTAAAAAGGCCATCACCTAATACTTTAAGGTTTTGGGTTAATTGGTTCTTTACATGGTATCAAAGCTTCAGTAACCACAAGGTCACAAGTTGGATCATCACCGCCCCCACTTATGGAATTAAAATAAGCATAAGGTAAACAAAAAAAAAATTGGGCTTATACAATATTCACGCTTCAAGCCAAAAAGCTCTTGCATGGGGGGGTGTATTAGAGAATAATATATAACCATAAAAAGGCCTTCACTCAATACATTAAGGTTTTTTGTTGAAGTGGTTCTTTACAAGAACGACGGAGGAGAGGTGACGACGTGACAAATCAATGGTGGAGAGAGAACAACCAGCACGGCAGAGGAGAGGGAGAGAGAAGTCTGAAGAGGAATTACCCCTACGGCGGAAGAGATCACCAGATTAGGGAGATTGGGTCTGGGTCTAGGGGTGGGTTGATAACCCACAGCGGAAGGCATGCGACCCAATAAGGCGGATACTTCGGATCCTACTTGGACGAAGCGAAAGATATTGTCGATAAATAGAAGTACATCTTGTTCATTGACATCGCGAAAATATTCCGCCATAGTTAGGAAAGAAGATCGAAAGAGAAGAAGAAAAAGAACAATTTAGATTTTAGATCTAGTTCTAGGTCTAGGCAGCAACAAGCTTTTATTTTTTTGGTTTACACAACAAACGATATCTTTTCGTGTGTAAATTTTTTTTAAATGAAGTGACCCCCTTTGACCCCTCTAATCCAGGAGTCACAGGTTCAGCCGGGGGGTTTCGGGGGTCAGAGGGGTCAATGTGCATGTAGGGTCTAACTACTGACCCTAACCTTCAGAGAGGAGATCAATTACTTGGCGGGGTCGATCCCGGGGCGGGGCAGGGTTTTAAAACACTGGATAAGAGTTAAGACTGGGGAATACTGGGTTGGCTATCAAGGAGAAGAATTTTGGTGGTTCCGGACCACTATTGATTTAGTAGTCCGGACCAATCAAAATCAAACAAATTTTGAGGAGAGAGGAAAAATGAAAAAAATTATCCAAGTGTTACCCCCTGAATAGAAGGACCACATGAGGCCTGGAACACCAAAAAAAAATTTGCTATCAAGGCACAAGATCTTTTCAGCTGCCTTAAAAGTAAGTGCTATAACTCCAGGGGCGAGCACATTCGGTAGTGAATTGTGCCCCAAGGATCGGGTCGTGTATTTGATCCTTGGAAGATGCTCTTTGGGTCAAAGGTGATACCCTTGCACTCTAAGCCTCGATTGGGGATTAGTCCCATCCTCTCTTCGGCGACAACTGTCCAATGCACCCGCTGCACCAATGAGAAGCTAGCTTAAGGTGGGCTGGAGGGAGTTGAATGGAGATACCTCCATGGTAATACTAAAAAAAAGTAAGTGCTATTGTTGCTAATGAGAAATTAATTAACACTATTAAATGAGAATGTGGTATCATACCTTTGTCAAATGTAACATAAGATCAAATGATTTCCCCCCTAGATTTTAGGGGGACAGGGGCCCACCCTAACCCCTATGTAGGTTCACCTATGCCTGTAGCACAAGAGGGCTTCCACGGCTGATGCATGCTTCAATGTAGCTTTCCCCACTCCTAACCAAACAAAAATGCAATCTCTGCTTTAAGCATCAAGACTTTTTGACCGTACTAATCCCATTTTTAAAAAGTTTGACCAAATTAAGTTCCCAATCAAATTAATTATCAAACTAATGCAGAACAACGCCGTATAGAAGTCACTGCATTAAGATGCACCTCTTATTAGTGTTGTATTATTGTCAGTCAAATGCCTTTAGGGAGTGTTTGGTTGAGGAGAAATTTTTTGAATACTAGGAAAATGTAATTAATAGAAAAATGGTTGGAAAGTGAGTTTGATAGGAAAATGTAAAAAAATTTGTTTGGAAAAAACTTTACTAGGCAAATTAGGTAAGATTTATAAGAAGAGGGATAAACTTGCCATTATTTTCATCCCTTTTTTTCATTTATCCGGGTTTTGTAAGAATGTTACGTTGGCAGAGGGAATCGTAACAGTGTTTTATTACAATTTTTACATGCAATTTTCAATTGATAGGAAACTGACATTGATGGGCAAAAGTGATGAAAACTTCTATCAAACGTGGAGAAATGGAACTCCCACATGCATTTTGCTGGAAAAATATTCACAACTCCCCAACCAAACACTACCTTAAATCAGTGTAGCAAAGGCACGGTTAGAAACATACCACGTTTGATGGTATTAGGTAGGAAGACACGGCTTCATCAGAGTCGCATCTAAAAGCGGTCTTCCAGTCACCGTATCACTGACAATATATTGTAGCTCTCACTCTTGGATAAGTTTTCACTACTGTACTAACAACTAGTTGAAAAATTATTTCTATCCGGAATACATTCATTAAAACTTAAAAATTAAAAAATAGTTTCATTTAAATTATTCATTTCTTTATTTTTGATACAAAGAATATGTATTATAATTTATATGAGTGCTCAAACACCCAAACACTTTCTCTTTTCATATAAATATAACAACACTATTGAGGAACATTTTATTTTGCGCGTGATTGGTTTTTTTTTTTCAAGAAACAATTAATTTCTTTCAACTTTTTATTTTCAGAAAAAATCTGTTAGTCTTTTTTTGGTAGTTTAAATCTGCTAGTTTTTTAAATTTCAAAATAAAGTAATCAAACAAATTTAATCTTTTTATTTACATTTTATGGGTATTTGTTAAAAGTATTCAAATTTAAATAATTTATGTGAAAATTTGATTTGTGACATAAAGACGTCCTTTGATTTTAATTTTTTGTTTACACTAATAATTTTCAATTGAACTAGGATGGGTATGCATTTTTCACAGATTATGCAACCTCACACAAGAAACTCTCAGAGTTAGGCTTCAATGTTAAGAATCGTTTGACCCAGGTACTTACAGGATTAGTTATTGCCTCAACTGCGATGATCGTGGGTAGGGCTGTGCATGGGTCAGGTCAGGTCAGGTTTTTGTCCGACTCGACCCAAGTTGGTTTTTATAGGTCAAGTATTTTGACCCGACCCGCTTTAATTTGATCCAAGTCAGGTCTGACTTGGATTGGATTTTGTTGAACTAGTTCAGAACCAGTTTGGATCTGACCTGACTTAGTTTCTGAAATGGGTCTGACTTGGTTTCTGAACTGGGTCAAATCTGACCTGACCCATTTTTGACTTGGTTTTCTCACAAAATTTTTACGTTGCAAAAGATGAAAATTTCGTCACAAAATTATTTTTTCGTCGAAATTTTTACAAAAAAAAAAAATTTCTATTGAAATGTAGTTTCCGTCAACAGTTTTGACGAAAATGATTTCTTCCATAAAATGTTTTAAACAAAAAAAGAATTTTGTCAAAAAATTTGACGGAATGTTTTTCGTTCAAAATTTAGATGGGAATGTGTTCTGACGAAAATTTTGACGAAAATTTTTTCGAGGGAAATGTTTCATTTGAAACTTTCGACGAAATTTAGATTCTCTAAAGAATTTTGACAGAATATTTTTTTTGTCAAAATGTTTTTTTTGTCAAAAAAGTTTACGGAATTTTTTTATAGAAATGTGTTTCATTGAAAATTTTGATGGAAATTTTTTATCAAAAAATTTGACGAAAATATTTAGTTAAAAATTTTCGATGGAAATGTGTTTCGCTAAAAATTTCGACAAAAATTTTTTTTGTTAAAAAATGTAACAAAAATTTTTCCGTCGAAAACTTTCACGGAAATTTGAAATCTGTAAAGAATTTTGATGAATTTTTTTGCCGTCAAAATTTTTTGATGACGAAAATATTTCTGTCGAAAACTTTCGCCGAAATTTGAAATCTGAAAAGAATTTTAATGAATTTTTTTGCCGTCAGAATTTTTTGATGGAGATGTGTTTCGTCGAAATTTTCAATGGAAATTGTTTTGATGAAAATGTTTCATTTGAAACTTTCGACGAAATTTAGATTCTCTAAAGAATTTAGACAAAATATTTTTTCTGTCAAAATTTC